CGGTAATTTTACTAGAATTTTTTTCACCGCGCATCAATTTCTGTCATCTTTTTTTGCACCCGAGAATTCATATCGTCTAATAATTATCATAAATTTATCAATATTTTATAATAATAAACAACTTTTATATCATCACATTTCTCCCAAATTCTTTTAAGGTTTAAAAATATTTATAACAAAGATCTACCTAAAATATTCAATCAGTTTACATACGCCACGCATAAATATTGTTAAATGTTGTAAGCTTATAATCAGTCATTGTAGGGTTAGTAGAAAAATTTATTATTTTAATGAAAATGTTTTTTTTTCTTCTTTTTTTCATACTTATTATGTGTTTTTTGTAAAGTGGGCATTGTTACTGATTTGTTTAAACTTAGTAATTGCCTCGTGATGAAAAGTATTTCTAAAAATACAGAAGCATCTTATCCATTCTTCCTTTATATCAGTTACGAAGTCTGTTTGACTTAAAACTTTGCATTTGAAACATTCCCGTTAAAAATTGCGAGACTTTTTTTCATTCAAACAATGTTCAGAGTAGAAAAATTTTTAAAAAAAATAATCAATTGAATAAAAACATCTAAATTAGTTTTGATTTAATTATAGTATTCTTAAGTAATGATATGTAATCTTAATGGGGTGAGGGTCTAAATTTAAATATGCTAATTAGTTATAACAGACGATCAATATTTTAAGTTTCGAAATCAGACACAAAAATATTAATAAACATGCATCTTTAAACCTAATGAATATGAATTTTTTGATAGGCTTAAAGTTTTTTCTTTTTTTAAGCCGTCGTTGAACAGCCGACCCAATTTTTCAGGTTTACCACTGCTAGTGTTTCCGTAGCCTTATAATTTTAAACACAATCCAGAACACAAGGGAACTCCTGGATCAAGTATTTGGAGAAATTTGTTTTCGTGGAGGACTTTCTGATGGAACTAAACCCGCATTTGCCTCACATTCGGAAGAAAACCATGAAAATGCCCCACGATTAGCCTGACGGCAAGGGGCACTGTGGTTGATGCACAACGGATGCGGAATTCTTATCAACCAGCCATCTCTGGGATAAAAACCCACTGGAAGGCGAATTCTCTATCCCTTGGGCCCTTACGGCTCAGACTTAAAGTTTTGAATTTTAAAATGTGGTCCCAATAGTAAAATCAGGAGTTGTAAGAATTGAAACTTTTTTTTCTGTGAATAATTCTTTGGTTCACTTACTATACTTACTTCTATAGGCATGTTTAAATACGCAAAAAAGCGAAATTGACATTAACCTAAAACTTTTCAACTTCACCGCTGTCCTGAAATAAAATTTTCCGATGCCCACCCTATTGACACTCGCATTGAGGTATCAATAGGGCAGTTGTTTTGACCATTCTCACAGGGGCACCATATTAAGAGGACCAAAACTTGCTCCCACAGGTCGGTGAATAAAATATTGCGAATATATTTTTAAGAATGTTCAGAAAAAAACTTTTTCGTATCTTATTCCGTAACTTAAAATTTTCTTTATTGAAATTAATTAGTCTTTTTTTAGTTTAGACAGCAGAAATTGTATACCAATACTTGAAAACCCAATCACTACGCTGTAAAAAATTTCGAATCAAATTACGGTATCAAGTACCGGAACTTTGGGTGCATCATCATTAAAATTCATTTAACCGTTAATTCCATTTTTTCCGCATAATATTATACCTTAAATTTTACAGTAATATATATTTAATTAGAGATTCAGTGATTTAAAAATTACGGTTCATCAGATTTTCATTTTGTAACTCGTTCTGGTAAAAAATATATTCTGCGGTAAAAAGTACTAGTCCGAAATTTATTATACTGTATAGAAAAAATCGCCTATTTTGCTGACAGTACTCTTATTTTAATTATATGAGTTTAAATTTGTGCTTTGGAGTAATCTCAAATGTTAGTTTGCACAAATAGTGTTTTAAAAATATAAAATTATAGCAGATCATAAAAAATATTTGGGAAAATAAAAGTATGTTTCGTTTAACCCCTCAAAGAATTATGCTTCAACACTATGTGATTTGCATGCTTACGCATTCAACGAAAACGGATGTTACCAATATTTTTCTAACAGAATGCGTTTTTTAAGAAGTGCTCCATAAGACATTGATTTCCAATAAGTTTTCTTATCCTTTGGTTAACCTTACAATTTCTTCAAAAGGAAATACTTCTAAAAAATTAATCAATACTAAACAAAAGATAAATTGATTTTGTGTAGAATAAAATACTCTATGTTTAATACTTTTAAAAGTAACAGTACAAGTTGAAATATTTTTAAAGGAATTTAGAAAAAAGAATTTTCTGTAAAATTAAAACCTTTAAGAAGCATTTGTCTGCGTAAAAATATAATTGAATTTTCACTTGTAGGTCGGAGTTTTTAATTACAATGAAAGGTTATAAGAAAGATAAGAATTTCGATTCAAATTACCTTTTAGGCAGTTTTATGGCATATAATATATCATTGTCCATGCCTAGTGAAAATGTTTTTGAACCAAAATGTGAAAAATTAAACTACAAAAATATCCTTCAATAAAAAAAAGTTGCGAGTTAAAATCTATAATTTTGTATGTAATAATTAAAAATATCAAAATTTATTAAGTTTTATGAAATGATTTATTTTAAAAAAATTATTTTATTACATTTATGAGTTTACTTTCTTCTAAGTTACATATTAAGTAAAAAAATGATTTTTTTCTATTATTTGAAGGTTAGGTCTAACAAGGTTAATTGTTCATTTCTATGAATAAATAAATAATTAAGTTTTATTCGAAAATAATTTCAAGCAATATATATTCTTCCATTTTAACAAAAGTTTGCTTTTCGTATTGAGCATTCTTATTTAATGTTTTTATTATCTTTTTTAGGGGAGAAATTAGTTTTCACATTTAAATATTTAGTTCCATACTTAATTAAAGAATTGGAAAGCAACTTAGTCTTTTATCAAGATTTTCAAAAGTGTATAGGCTAAGAAAATTACTTTAATTGTATTTTTATAATCATATATTGAAAAAAAGGATATTTTAATATGTTTTCAACTAAATTTGATCATTAATACCTGCTCTAAATTTGATTGATTTTAACAATTGACTGATGACTGATATTGAAAGGTTCATTAAATTATTCATTGATATTAAGAGAAAAATCACTAAAACATTTTCAAAAGATTGACTTTTGTTTTTCTTTTTACTGAATGTAAATGTATACACATTCGAAGTTAATATTTTTCGTAAAAGCGCGTATTAATTATAACGGACACGCTAACTGTCGTTCAATTTTTCAACCATTTACTTTAATTTGAACAATGCGTATATTACTATCGTACTTGAAGTCTGAAGGAAGCTATTTTACTCCATTAATAGATTTGTAATTAATGAAATTAAGGCCAACCTTTCTGATTACATTTATGCTGTAATTGTGTATAAAAAAATTTATTAAATGAAAAGGACATCATTAATAGTCATGCTGTTAAATTTTTAATTACATCGGATAGAAATACCCATCTTTGAGAATTTTTTCGGCAACGATATATTTGCTGAGCGTAGTTTTGCAGAATTTCTCAAACATACTCCAATTTTGTTTGAAAATTCATGAAATGAAAATAGAATTGCAGTCATGTTATAAAAGTTTTAATTAAATCTGATAGAAATGCAATAGAAATTTAATAGAAATACTAATCTTTGAGAAACGTTTTTATAGAAAATTTTTTCCTCAACTTCCATATTTGCTGAGATTGTTTTCATATAATTTCTTCAATATGCTGCAATTTTGTTTACAAAAAATTAATAAAATGATAACAACATCATAAATAGTTATGCTGTTAATTTTTTAATGAAATCGAATCGAAGTTCGATGGAAATTTAATAGAAATTCTTCAGAAAGATTTTTTTCATCAGCGACCATATTTTCTGTACTTAGTTTCGTAGATTTTCTTTCTTAACTGTTTTAAATCAAGTTTGAAACAAAATGAATATTGTTAAAAATAATCTAATATGTCTGCTTTACTTTTTTCACGATTGATAAATTACTTAGAAAAAGAAGTTTATATTTAAACAATGACAGCGGTTTCTCCCTTTAAATGAATGCTTGAAACAATTCAATGAATCGTATTTTCTGTAATCTTTTTATTAACTAGTAGGGAAAAAAATATTAAATGAAATATTTTAAAACAACTTGAATGTGTGAAAATTAGTGATAGAGAGAATCATTTGTAAAAATTCTATTTCTTTTCTTATTTGAGCAAAAACCTTAAAAGGTAATTTTATTCAAAAAATAAATAAAAAAATAAACCGCATAGAAACTTTTGAAAAGATATACTTATCTCTTTTGAAAATATATACTTTTCTTCAAACGGCCGCTGACAAAAACGATAAATTTTAGAACAGTAATTACAGTTTTAATAGAATTAATTTATTCGGAAAATGCTTATATTTGAGCGTGTAGCCGTGTGTTTTAAATAAATGTTTTTTTATTCGTTTCATGAAATAATTCATTATGCTAAAAAGAAGGTGCTGCCTAGTGTTTATTTATTCTAAGATTATATAGCGGTAGATTAATGAAAATTAAAGTCTTAAAAGTAATTTTTTTTTACGCGCTATATTAACTATAAAAGTGTATAATATTTTTTAACAACTATATTTAAAGATTTTTAGAATTCTAAAGAACTGCTTGACATTAGGTAAATGATAAATATTTAGTTTCATATAAATTGTTTGTTCTTTTTTCAATTTATAGACAAAGTTTCGGATACAGATTTTTATTTAAAATCATACGGAAAATTGGTTTTTACTTTATTTCAACACATTTATATCATTCAAAATAACATGTTAAAAATAAGTCCATTTTTGAGAATGCTAATAAATATCATTTTTTTATTTTTTTTATTTCTAATGGCAAGGCGAAAGGTACAAATAGAAAGATGAGATAAAGAACGAATACAAATGTACGTAGGATAACAAAGAAAGAAGACCGAAGTCATTGCGTTAGAAGTTCTCTTGCTTCCCAATATCTTGAGGACTCAGTGTGTCCATGAAGGGCCCACATAGAAGCAGGTGGTCCCTGCCCAATTTCTCTCCAGATTTACAAAGTGGACAAAAAGGCGTGGTGGAAAGGCCTATGCGGTATAAGTGATCAGAAAGACAATCGTGGCCTGTATATAATCGGAAGGCCTCAATTGCATCACGTCTTGGTTTGTCGGGAATTAAAGAAGAGCTTACATTTCTCCAACTTTTCAAAGCTGTGCGAGTCTGAAGGTCTGGCAATGAGTTGGTTTTACATAAATTTTTAAGGAACAGTTTGATTTTCCAAAAAGAAGTTGCAGTATTTGGTTGTTGTAGCAAATTGGCACCTTTCTTGGTAAGTAAATCTGCCTGCTCATTGCCCAAAACACCACAATGGGCTGGCACCCACTGGAGGAATATTCGTTTTCCCCTCAAAAATAAAGACCTCAAGAGATCTTGACATCGGGAAATCTCAGGTGTCAAGGGACGTTCATATGAGCTAAATGATTGTATGGTCGCTTGTGAGTCCGAGAAGAGAACTGCATTTTCAAATTTGTGTTGGAGGGCCAGTAGCTGCTGTAAGGCCGTACTCAAGGTCACTACTTCTCCATCAAAGGCGGTGCCAATGTATCCTGCTGGTACGTAGAAAGAGAAAAGCTCCGAAAAGACACCAGCCCCTACATTAAAATGGCAGTCAAATTGAGAACCATCGCTAAAAACATGTAGCCAATCGTCGACTGGGTATCTAATCGCCATTTGTCTCCAGGGCAAGAATTTTTAGAATAATTGGAGCAACATCTTTTTTACCATGGACAGTTTTCACAAGATTCAAGTTTATTTTAACATTTGTTATTTCCAAGGGGTTTTTAGGTTTCAAAAGAGGTAGTGCATGACACGGGATTAATAAATATCATTATTTAATGTGATTGGACAACCAAATTTTTTCTTTTGAATGTTTACGAAATTAACTAAATTTTTCTATTAATCTAAAATAGTTTTTAGAAAATTTAGATCGTTATTTATTTTTTATCGTTATATTTGTTTTATATCGTTATCTTTTCCATCGACATTTATTTTAATTTACGGATTTCATTTTATAAAAAAATTATTATTTTACTATTGTACTTTGTAATAAAAATTACTATTGTACTTGGACAAAAATAGGATTCTATTTCATATTATGTGTGAGTTATGTTGTGAATGTTATGTGCGGCAATAGAGATATGAGGAATCATTACGCATCTTCAGATTATTATCAAAGCACTGTTTTCAATAATTTAAGCAATTTTTATTTAATTTTGCACTACTTAAAAAAAATAGAAACCTTTTTGATATCTAAGTAGAAATATCATGCACTGAGAAATAAAAGTATTGTCAAAACTACAAGAAAAAGGTGAAATTTACAGTATTTCTGGTTCAAAAGCTTTAACGAAACCCCTTGGTAAAAGTTTGATAATATTAAGAATGAATTATAGTTTTATAATATGTGATAAAATCTGGTAAATTTGGTATTTTTATTATGATACCTTAAACCAAGGTATAAAAACTATTTATTTAGTACAATTTCAATTTCATTTTGCATTTTTTCAAACAACATTATAAATTTTTACAAGACATTATAAATTTTCATAACTCCTGGTGCTATTTCTAAACATTTCTGTAAAATTGTTGTTATTATTTCATTTAAATTAAAGCTCTTTTTTTCCGAATTCTGTGCTTCAAAACATGCGTAAATGAAAAAATAACGTAACAACCATAATTGTAATAATCAGATTCTCAAATATATAACTATTTAAACCTTGAAACTCAGAAAAGTATTCAGCATTTTGTTCGAATTTTGTATTTTGTTGTTTCAAATTACGTAGCTAAAAATAATGTACAAATTTGCATACCTACCATTTAAAGAAACTTCTCAACTGCTATTACATTAAATAATCATTTTTTAATTAGATTCTCAACAAAATTACTTTTGAATAAAGGAATTTCAATATTATGTGTAAATTCTTTTTGATTAGTTCCAGAGATATGGCAAAATACACAAAAAGTGGGATTAACAATAATCTATCTAAACTACCAAGTGAACTATTAAGAACTAGTCAAAATTCAAATCCATCACCAAAAAAGCCACATTAATACGTTTCTGTATTTGATTTCGTTACTTAATAGTTAGCTCTAACTACACGGAGAAAAGATTTTCGTAATTACCCTACTGTATGGTAATGACAAATCTGATCGAAAAAGAACGTAATTTTGGTTAATAAAATCGAAATTTACGGTATTTAAACTATTGATGCAGTAATTTTTCTGCTCATATGGTGACGGTTTACAGAAAATTCTGATTTCTGAAACTATATAATTCTTATTACCACATATTTAGTAAAACAAACACATAACTGAAAAAAGGACTTAACCGAAAAAATGTTTTTTTTACAATGCTCTAAGGTATCATGATAAAATTGTCGAATTTTACCACTATTACCAAATTTTGTCACACATTATAAAAACCATCTTTTATTGTTAATTTTACCTAAAATTACCAAATCGTTTCGGTAAATATTACCAAGCTCTTTGGCGTTCTCATAGAGTCAGAAACACGGTAAATTTCACCATATTCTAGAAGTTTTGACCATTCTTTTTTTCAAAGTGTAGTCAACATATTTGAGGTTTGCCATTTGAACAATGGAGAATAGCATTGAAGACCTAAAAATTTGATGGTGAGAACAAAAATTATTTGTGAATATGTCCTTTTTTATTTAGTTTACAAAAAAATTTTTAAAATATTCCTTCGACCTTCACATAAGCACGCCAACGAAAAATCGGCAACGAAAAATAAGCAAAAATTGTACCAAACTTCCAATCGACAATGGCATTTAAACAAGTTTATTTTAAGAGCTTTTACATTTCTGAAACTACAACGAAATTCACATCAGGAACTTAGGGAGCATTAAAAAGTATTTGTTGAACTAAGTCACTTCAAAAAGTCCATTAAACATTATGTGCAAATTCACAAACGCATCACCTAGAAACAAGGAATCATTAATGAAAGGGTGGAGGAAAATTGACGGAAATTATTGTCACTGGGACCGTAATTAGAATCTTAGGGAATTACAGCTCATGTATAATCGAATATTTTTATTTGAAGTTCGTGACAGATATCTAACTGAAATGAGGTTAATTGTAAACAAGACGTTGACATTAATTATAAATAAGATTAAGTAGTTCTAAAACGGCTGCTTCTGCAAGGGATAATATTGATTATTGTATCTGATCGCAGATTGTTCAAAGTGAAATCTGAAACTCAGGTTTTAACAAAGGTTAAAAGAAATAAAAATATTTAAAATGTCATATTTGTCAAAATACTTAAAATATTGTGAAATATCATCCACGGCAAGAATTTGTAAGATTTTTAATGCTTCAAAAACTAGGTTTATGATTCTTTTTTTAAAATACGTTAGGATGTTTAAGCGTTTTGAAGATAAATACTACTTATAAATTAATACAAATGAGACATAAGTTAGTGAAAAACAGATACAGAAAAAAACATTTATGTGAGAAAAATAAGGTATGTGTTAGTGATCTTTATTTTTTGGGTATTCTTGTTACGCTAGAATTACAAGAGAATGAAAAAAGTATATAATTAGCTAATACCAAGTTACAGAACTATACAGAGAAATTAGAAATGGGTTAAAAGGTAAAAATATGATATTCGCTCAATATATTCATTCAATGCTTAAAAAAATTAAATTATTTAAATTATTTCCTCAAAAATTAGAATTTTTATAACGTTTAAATTATTTAAAACCCTTTATTTAGAATCCCTCAGCAAAACTAGACTAAAATGAAAAAGCAGGAAAGCTTAAACTTTGTATTGAAGCTGAAAAGGGCAGTTTTATTTGAAAAGTTTATAAAATAATTGGTCACCATTACAAAAAAAATCAAAACTACTGCTGATCTTTTTTTATTTATTTTTTTTTTTGATGGAAAGTTAAGCCTACTCGAACAAAAGCTTAGCGTAGGTGAAATTTAATGCTTAGGCCCTCCTAAACAAGTGCAAAAAACAATTCATAATCCTCAAAGCAAATTATTTATGAATTCTGGATATTAGAGCTATTTATGTTTTTCTTTTAAAGGTATCAGAGAAGGTGAATAAAAAATTTTGATGCGAAATGTTTAACTTTTATGAAATACTCATATGAAATATAATTACATAGTGTTATGCTGCATGGGGTGTTCGATCTGACTAAATTTCAAGCTTGTAAATATAATAATACAAATAAATATTTTATCTCTAATATTTTCATAGCATTGTTTAAAAAGTATTTGACTCATTACCCGTGCCATACTTGCATACAAAATATGGCTAAAATATCCAGATATCCACTGAAAGAAGTGGATCCACACCGTTTTTAATGTTTTGTCCCTTAATTCATATGGGTGAAGAATGTTCTTTGCGCGGAGAGCAAAATTCTTTTAAAATTACCGTGCCATATGGTAATAGCATTTCTGGTAAAAAAAGGTCGTAATTCTGGGTAATAAAAGCAAAATATACGGTATTTAAACCATTCGTTTGCTAATTTTCTGTTCATATTAAAGTGGTTTACCGGGAATTCTGGCAATCAAAATTACAGTTCTGATTATCTCCCATTTAGTAAAAACAAAACTAAAAAGTACATTTTACAGAAAAATGGTTTTTATACAATGTCCTAAGGTATCATGAAAAATTTCAAGATTTCATCCCATACTACAAAACTATATTTCATGGATAATTCTTCTAAAATTATTACCAAAGCGCTTCGCTAAAAGTTACCGAATTTTTGTTGTTCCCGTAGAGCCATAAAACGGTAAATTTTACCATATTCGGGTAATTTTGATCATACTTTTAAATCAGTGTCAGATGTATGAGAGCAATTTGTACAATGTTGCTCTCCCTAACCTATGGCATTATTTCGGGGAAGTACCATTCCTGTTTCAGAAGGATAACTGTCCCAGTCACACATTGGGCAGATAGGTTTTCTTAAAGAGGGTATTCAAAAACATAACTGGTCTTTTCAGGACCGAGATGTAAACCTTTTAAAACACCATTAAGATGAAATAAAATGCAGATAGCGAAGCCATCCAAATCAGCCATCCGTATTGCCAGCATTCACTTTAACTAAGATGGAACCTGTAAGTCAATTTCTATGACCACCTTTCAAAAACTGGTAGAAAGTCTCGCCTGACGTATGCACACTGTAATCGATGTTAAAAACGGACAAGCATCAGAATAATATATCCCTCCAAACACTCCGATTCTGCTATTCCAGTAGATGTCTGAAAACTTTTGTCCAGTTAGTGTATTAGCATTTACATATTTATAAATATCATATAATAAAAATGAAGTGTTAATAATGTAAAAAACTGTACATAAAATAAACACTATAATACTATAAAACTTTATATAAAATTATGTCCATAAAAAGTAGTTTTATAAAAGTAGTTTATTTTTTAAACTTTCCAAAAAATCGAGGCAACTATTTTTGTTAACTCTATTTAGATTTCTTATAGTTTGGGAATTTTAAAATATGTGTAAATCATGTAATACGCAAAATTTAGAATATTTCTTGATTAACAGCTCGTATTATAAAAAAGGTTTTCATTTTTACTTTAACAGTCATGATAGTGAGGAAAATGTTTATATAAATTTTCGCAAATGTTTTTTATTTATTTATTGATCTATTTTACAATTTTTATACTTTTAAAGAAAAATATTTCTTTTC